TCTTTTGTTGTGGTTTTTTTTTTTTTTGGTACCAGGAATTGAACTCAGGACTTTGTGCTTGCCAGGAAGGCACTTGTGCTGTTGAGCTGTATCTTCAGGCTCCCCGCTCTCTTGTTGTGTTTTTTTTTTTTTTGGTACCAGGAATCGAACTCAGGACTTTGTGCTTGCCAGGCAGGCGCCTGTGCCAGTGACTTACATCCTTGCCCCTGCCGTCTTACTTTTGTTGTTGTTGTTGTTACCAGGAATTGAACTCAGGACCTTGTGCTTGCCAGGCAGGCACTTGTGCCACTGAGCTATATTCTGTTTTTGTTTTTTAAGACAGGGTCTTGCTGTGTGCTGCAGGCTGGCTCTGAACTCACTGTGGAGTCCAGGGTGGCCTCAGTCCTTATGGTGATCCTCCTGCCTTAGCCTCCTGAGTGCTGGTATTGCAGATGAGTGCCACACACCCAATTCTCTTCTTTTCAGTCTCCACTGGGCTGTGTGACACTGGGTCTCTCTTAGCTAAGGCAGTATCTCTTCCAAGACACCTTCCCTGCTCCTGCAATCTGGGAAGACCCCGTTTCTGTGCCCACAGGGCCTACAGGCACCCATAACCCCGGAAACACCTTCATAGTGTTTCTTCCCCCGAATGAGCCCCTAAGGGCAGGACCACAGCTGTCTCACTACACCCCGTACAGGACCCAGGCCCTGCCATGGACACAGCAAAAAAACTCTGAAAGGAAGATCAAGTCACCAGCATGGCCTTGAGAGATGTCCAGTTACACCGTCACACAAGTCAGAAATGAACAGTCTCTGTTTTCCTCCCAGCTGGTCCCCAAAGTAAACATCACCAGGGCCTTTGGGTGATGTTCCACCAGACCCCTGAGAGTCCCAAGTGCCTTCTCTACCTGTCAGCAGTCATCTTACAGGGAAACTGGACCTCTGAGAAGCCAAGGGGCCCATCCCCGTGTGGCAGGATGCCCCCCCAACCCCAGGTGCAGCCAGTACCTGGCTTAAACCCCTCCCCTTTCCTCCAGTGTGGCCTGACCTTGTAAAAAGAGTTCCGTGGCCACACCCACATCACAAGGCTACTTAAAGATCATGTGGCATAGTGGGAACAATGGAAGTGTTCGCTTTTATTCCAGAAGAGGCTAGGTATGCTGGACTGCACAAGCCACAGCCGCTGGGCCACAGGAAATTCTACAAGGGCAACTCTGCCCTCATGGGCCTGCCTGGGGGGCCCGGAAGACTGCAGAGGACCTGCTCTGGGGCCAGGCCAGGAATTGAGAGGCCAGAGAGCCGCGCCTCACCTGTGGCCACCCTAGGCCTCCCTAGCCCCTTCCTGCCCTTCACTGCTGGCCAAGCATCTCTAGGCTGGGGTGTCCTCCTTTCTCCAGAGCCCTTGGCCCCTGTGAGGACAGCAGAGTCTGGCGCCAGGCTCTGGAGAAAGGTTTCTTTGCTAATCCAGGCTCTGGGAAGGGGAAGGACTGTCTTCTTCCTGGATGGCCTGCAGGAGGCTGTGGCAGCCGCCTAGGGCAGAGCCATTCACCCAGCCCCAGGGCAGTGTCTTAGAAGCTAGGTGCTCCTCTGGGCACTAGTCTGAGGCAACAAGTCCCCTGGCTGCCTGCACCACCTAAGCAGATATATGAGCCCCAGACCATAAGCTGGGGAGCAGTGTTCACCTGAAGGCGAATGGTCCAGAGCACAGCCAGACCTGGGGCGCCTGCCAGGCACCCCCAAGCACCAATGGGGACTTTCTGCATGGAATCCTCACACGTGCAGGCTCAGGAAGGGCCAGCACCTGAGCTGCCCAGGAGTTCGGCAACCCTGACAACCTTCCTGCCTCCTCTTCCTCCTGCTTCTCCCACAGGGGGTGTGGCCCACTGGCAAAGTGGCAGGTGAAACCCTGGGCTTGGCTCTCAAGTCCTCACTATGTTTGTGATAAGAGGTAAGTACCTTCCTTTCTCAGGACTCCACCTGGGAACCTCGGGGAGGTGGGCCTGCCAGACCTCAGGTCCAGAGAAGATGTTTTGCTCACCGCTGCAGCCCCCTGCCTGACGGTGCCCAGTACTTGTGACCGGCTCAGTGCACACATGCCGAGGAACCCTTGTTCTCTGTCCTCACCTGTGGAGCAGGTCAGAACCCAGCCCCACACAGAGCAATGTGGAGACTGCTCTTGGCCTCATTCCCCAAGCACTCAAGGGTGGGCCTTGGCCTCAAGTGGGAGGCCCAAGACAGGTGTCTCTCCAGGGTTCTGCACTGCTTTCCCATGCTGGGGTGGCCCTGCCCCACACTGCACCCTACCAGCCTCAGCCACCCAATCTGTGCCCCACCTGAGCTCGCAGGCAGGCCATATGGTGCCCAGGAACCCACGTCAAACACCCAGCTGGAAGCAAGGCCATGTTAGTGAGGACCAGGGCAGAATGCCTTGGAACAGGCTCCCACACTGTCCCTGCCATCCCTAGGTCACCTGGCCTGAGAGAGACACATCAGGGAGGCTGAGAACCCCAGTGCTGGATAAAGTTATGTTCTTAGTTGTTTTTGAGACGGGGTCTCACTATGTGTGAGTAGTCCAGGCTGGCCTTCAACTCACTATGTAGCCCAGCCTGGCCTCAAACTCATAGCAATCCTCCTGCCTCAGCCCCCCAAGTGCTGGGATTACAGGGGTGTGCCACCATGCCCAGCAAGGTTATGTTCTGAGGAGAACAAATAAATACTCTGAGGTAGCATGCTCAGTCCCTTCTCAGGTAAGAACTGGGCATATCAAGGACAAACAACTGTTTATCTCCGGCAAGTTCCTAGGGGCCACTGCCATGTGTTACCTAGTTCCAGCCATCTGAAAGGAAGTAGAAAATTTAGTAAACTGAAAATCGAGGGAAGATAGATCCACGTTTATGCTGTGTCTGCCTGCCAGTCCCTTGTGCTATTACTCACTGGCCTGGTCATGAGAACTGAGCGCTTAGCGCCTCCTGTTCTGCACCAGCATGGGGCAGGAACTTTGCTCCCCTATGACCCTCTCACCAGTCTGTGCCTTTTGTTACCCCCACTTTCCAAACAGGCTCGGAAGGAGGTGCACCTACCGTGGGTAAAGGCAGGGCAGGCCTGAAACCAGGTCTGTCCCTCCCTAGAACCTTGCTACCACAAGTTCTGAGCGCCGTGTAAAATCCAGGGCCCTTCAGCGGGCTCCAGGGGCTCACCTTGTCCTTGCCAGCCCTGCCCTGCCTCCAGCCTCACCCCTGGGTTCCAGATCACAAAGGCAGCCTGCAGAGATGAGGCCCAGATAAGCAGTGGGAATTTCTAGTGTTCCTCCGGGCTGTGCCGCCTGGCCCTGTGCCCAGGGAGGGGCCTCTACTTCTGCTCCAAAACAAGGAAGGTCCACTCGTCCATCGGAACCAGACAGACTGGTTCCCAGGGAGACCCCGCTCAGGGCAGGGAACCCTCCTGTCCACTGACCCTCTGCTGGCCTGGGAGGCGCTGCCCAGGACTCAGCTCCAGAAGCCACAGGACCCCTGAGGCCCTCACAGCTGGGGCCCACGGAATCGCCTTCTGTGGACCCCACTCCAGCTGCAAGAAAAGGTCAGAAGACTTGGCTGATCAGAGGGTTCACGCTGCTGTCCAAAGCAAGAACAGGGCCTCACCGAAGTCTCTCTGCCCCAAACCGGGATCCCTGCACACAGCCCCAGCCAGAACCCTCCTCTGCAGGGTCCACCATGCATGTCTCCTGCACACCCACTGCAGCACGGCACCAGTTCTCACGTGCCCGGGGCTCACCTGCCCATGAGGAGAGCCAGAAACAGCCCTGAAGCAGGACCACAGCTGAGCTCCACAGAAAGAGACCCGCTTGAGAAGGGAGTGAGGGGGAGGGGGTCTCTGATGCCATTGCAGATATGGGGCTGAGAAACCTCACAGCAAGGTGATGAGAAAGCAAAGACCAAGGCGGTGAGGGAGGGGTGCATGGGTCCCTGGGAAAAGCAGAACTGTGTCCTGTGTGTCCATCTGTCCCTGCGGAGTTCCCCTGAAAGTGTCCACACATACATCTGTGTTATACTTACACGCATGCGTGCCAAACACACACAGAGCCAAACCTCCTCACTCCTTCCCAACTTGCAAGGCCCCTGCGAGGCCTCCCCGCACAGGTGCTGCAGGTAAAAGCGACCTGCAGCACCCAACAGGACATGTGCACAGGTCCTCCGCATCAGCAGTTTCTAAACAACTGGGCAACGGAGATGTTTTGATGGAAACCACCTGCAGGCCCAAAGCAGAGGATCCGTCACAGACACCAGCCAAGAGGTATTCCCTGCTTCAGCACAGCTCTGCCACTGACCCCAGAAACTGCCCGCGGGGACAGCAGAACCAGTGGCCTGCTCAGTGCAATCAATGCGTGCCCTTCTGTGACTCGGCACAGGTTTTCCCTGCTGTGGTGGGCATGGCGTCCCCAGGCTACGGCGCGTCCTAACCCCGAACCTGCTTTGGAGAGAGGGTCTTTGTGGATGTCTGTTAGTGAGGTCACCCTGCATCGGGTGTGCCTAATCCCATGACTGACCCCTTACAGGAATAGGAACTTGGGGCACACAGACCCACCCTGGGAGAAGACCACACGAAGACAGAGCCAGAGGCTGGAGCCAATGTCCACAAGCCAAGGAC